AACTGCCGATAGTCAATACACATTCTCATAGAACCATCCTTCTTCTTAACGAACAACAATGGTGCACCCCAAGGTCACACATTAGGCCTGATGAGCCCCTTATCCCGCAACTTTTTTAGTTGTTCCTTCAACTCCACTGGAGCCATATGAAATGGAGGAATAGAGATAGGATTTGTGTTTGGCACCAAATCAATGCCGAAATCAATATCCCTATCGGGTGGTATGCCATGTAGGTCTGCAGCAAACACATTCCGAAACTCCCTCACTACTGGAACTGACACAATATTAGGGGTATCAACACTAACATCTCTAACAAAGGTAAATATGCCAAACATCCCTTCAAAAATGAGCTCACTCTACTAGGAGTGCAACCAAGAAAACCTTTCCACTCATACCTCGACAACCCCGGCATAGCTAAAATCATGATCTTAGCGTGACAATCACGATCAACATGGTAAGAGATAACCAATACATACCCAAGATCACATCAAAATCCACCATATCTAACAATAGGAAGTCCGCCCTCATCTGAAAATCACAAATAGTGACCACACATTATCGATAAACTTGATCCCCCAAAATAGAATTACCATTAAGTATAGACACATGCACAGAAGCATCAAGAGAACCACGAGGCATCTCTAGACAAGAAATAAAATATGATAACACATATGAATAAGTAGAACTAGGAATCAAACAAAGCATCTTTGTGGCACACAGACACAATACATGTAATCATTGTATCAGAAACAACAGCCTTAGTCCTCCATGGGAACGCATAGCATCTGGCTTGACCACCACTAGACTGAACTCCCCCTCTAGGACATCCTCGTCTTAAATGACCTCCACCCAAATCTAACTGAGAGGGTAGTGTAGCAACCGTGCAGGAATCATAGTCTGACGTCCCTACTGCATTGGACCTCTACAAAGATGGGGGCAGTATTTCCTGACATGCCCCAACTCTCCACACTCATAACAACCTTTGACTAGAAATAACTGTGAGGCCTGAGTCGGACCTCGTGAACCATAATAACAACTAGAAGAACTCGGTACCAACGAACCCTGAACAGATGGAGCACGATAAGAACTCTAAGAGAAGTGCACTAAATGAATACTGCACAGAAGCTCCTCGACTGGGTGGTGGTGAATGATAAGCTGGCCTACTAAAATGGCCTCTCCCATGTCGACCTCGGCCTCCAGTCGAGGCACCACCAAAGCTACATGAATGTCGGAACCTCTTGTCCCTACCCTGCATCGTCTCCCTAGTTTCATTACGAGTGTTCTCAACACGACGCGCTTTCTCTACCACTTGGTGAAATGAAGTCCCGGTCTCAGTCTCTCTAGCTATAGCGAGGTGAAGATTGTAGTGACGAACCTCAATGAATATTCTCACTATCTCATCCTTAGTGGGAATCAAAGCAGTAACATGATGGGACAGCTCTGTAAACCTTATCTCATACTCAGTAACTGACATCTGACCCAGTTGAAGGTACTCAAACTGCCTCCTCAACTCCTCTCTCCTGTGCATGGCACAAACTACTCCAAATATACCTTAGAGAACTGAGCCCAGTTAAGATAAGGTAATCTTAATGGTCGACCCAACTCACAAACCTACCACCACCTCTTGGCCGGACCCTGCATCTGGAAAGCAGTGAAGTCAACTCCATTGGACTCGACTAGTCCTAAATTGCGCATAATCGCATGACAACGATCCAAGAATCCCTGAGAATCCTTTGAAGGTGTACCACTAAAGTGAGGATGATGTAACTTGGTGAACTTAGCTAACCTCTTCAACTCATCGGCTAACATCGTGGGCCTATCCTCAGGCTGCACGTCAATAGTAGGTCAGGCTCCCCCAACTAGTAACATTGTAGGAGTCTGATAACCATGGGCCACCTTCTCTTGGGTACGAGTAACTGGAGTTTGTGCTTTACCCCCTGCCTGGGAAGTAGCTGGTACAGTGGGAAATGCTCCGGCCTGAGCCAAACTCTCAAACAATCAAACCATGCGGATCAAATCATCCTGAACAACTGGTGAAACAAATAGACCTTGGGGATCCTGAGTTGGTACCTCTGGCTCAACATAATCATGAAACTGCTCCTCAACACTAGCAACTTGTGGCTCTATAGGAGTTGCATGAGTAGGGACTCTAGTTGTTGAGCATGCTCCAACCCTACCTCATCCTCGGCCCCAACCTTTCATGGCCTTGGCCTTGGGTATTGGGGTACTAGTTCCTGCTCAACTACACTAGGAGATCGTGTTCTCACCTTCTGTGAGAGAAAAAATCAAAGATTAAGACTTAGGGATAAATAAATCCGCACGACAGAGAATGAAAGAAAGAGAAGTTTTCCTAATAGCCCAATAGCCTCTCGAAGAAAAGTACAGACGTCTACGTACTGATCCACAAGACTCTGCTAGACTTGCTCATGACTCGTGAGACCTAAGTAACCTAGTTCTCTGATACCAACTTGTTACGACCCCAAATCCCACCTGAGTTGTGACGACACCTAACATCACTTGATAGGAAAGCCAACAATTAATATGCAGAAGTAAACTTGAATAAGAGTACTAAATAGTCTCACCAGTAGAATAATCATAAATAACTGAAATCAATAGCAACAACAAAACTAAAAACTATCCCACAACCTGGTGTCACTGAGAACATGAGCTTTATAAGCTGAACCAAATATATAGTACTATCTAAAAGATGAAATATTAATAACATGAATTAATAGAAAAGGGACTCAAGGCCTGCAAATGGAATAGCAATTAACTCGTAATCTCCAAAACTGGTACTGATGCCACTCTCTAGAAATCACCCCTCTCAGCAGCACCTTGATCTGCACATAAAGTGCAGAGTGTAGTATGAGTACAACCTACCCCATGTACTCAATAAGTAACAAGCCTAACCTCGGGCTAAAAGTAGTAACAATATAGGAAAGGCCTAATACTCACTTCCAATAGCCAATAACAATAATAACGGTATATAACGGCAAACAAAAAAGTAGATCAAGTAATACCAAGCCCAATCTTTTCACAATAAGAAGGGAAATAAGCATGCTTTTCAAGAATAACAGTTAAGGCACAGATTCTTCCACATAAATCACCTAAATATGGTTTCATCAATTAAACTATGATTCCATATTCAACACATCAAATAGATACATCAAGTACCAGTAAGCATGAGGGAAGAAACACAACCATATACCTGCATGACAGTATACGTGCCAGAATCAATAATATAGCAGTTAAATCATCAAGTAAATCAAATCTCAGCACATGTATAGTGCCTAACACAGTTTCCCTTCAATCATCACATACAACAACACTCACCACTATACAGGTGCCTGACACAAGCCCCTCGCCAAGCACATATATGACCCGTATACTTGCACCCACAGGTTATTACCTGACTCCGGAGGGGTGGGTCCTAGACCAAGAACCTATCGGATCAAAACCAATGATCAATATCACCTAGCTCAATATGGGGCCTAGCATACACGTCACCTCACTATCAATACCACTTAAGCCCAATATGGAGTCTGACGCATGCATCACCTCACTATCAATATCAAATCGGCTCTATGGCCCAAGATCAGTCATCAACCTCAAGTCTCAAATTCTTACATCTCATAATACTCATCTCAACTCGCGTCACACATATAGTGGCACCAACAACATGTAAGATAACATATAAAGAATGCACATAAACAGAGATATAATAGGCGGATGTAGCATCATGATTGAGAATATGACTCAAATTAAGGAAACAGCTCAATATAGCAAGAACAGCCCTATCACGTCTCAAACAAAAAAAATATAGCCTAGACATAATTTCTAACTTGAATAATAGCTCACATAGTCATAAAAGTGAAGAAAACATGGAAATAAAGGAGCATGATAGCAAAACAAGGCACATAATGGCCTAAGGTGTACCCAGATCATGAATAACTCCGGTGTACGCATATACGCCTGCCACCTAGCACGTGCATTACCCCTAACATGTATCAAATACCATATCCAACGAGGACATTATCCTCAAACCAAGTTTAGATAAGTTACTTACCTCAAACAAGCCGAGTCAATACTCCAAAAAAGTCTTCCCTCGCAAATCGTCCTTCGAACAGCTCAAATCAAGTCGAGTAACACACAACGGTGTCAAATAATGCTAGAGAAAATAATATTGGAGCATAATTAATGAAAAATACAAAGTCAACCAAAAAGGCCAACCTTACCCGCACACCGAAACCCGACAAAAGTCACAATACCGATCACCCATTCCAGCACGAGTCTAAATATATAAATTTTATCCAAATCCGACTCTGAATCGGGGTTCAAATCCCAATTATTCATTCTACAATATTTCTCACAAAAACCCCAATTTTCTCCTTTAGATTTCATCAACCAAAAGCCAAAATCAAGGATAGACACTACTAGAAAATTACCATATTGCAATGCTGAAAACTCTGTTGCTAAAGACATCTAAACTGTTACAATAGGGATATTGCAATGATTAGGCATCTATTCCATTTGCTCGCATGCCAATATCTCTGAAGCAACGGTTCTTGTAATGGTTTCCATAGCCGTTTCTATTGTACCGTCTATGGCAACGGTTATTCCTCTTTTTGATGCAACAAATTTTTTGCTCTATTGCAATGATTTCCAACCATTACTATTAGGTTTAATGCAACGGTCCAAAACTGTTACTATTTGATTTAATGCAACAATTATGTAGGATATTGCAATGGTTATCTAAAGAGATTGCAGCGGTTCTTTTCTACTGCTACGGTTTCGTGTAATCGATTAAAAGCTATTGCATCGGTTCAAATAACATAGTGCGATGGTTTACAGATCTCTATTGTAACGGTTCGCATGACCTATTGCTGCGGTTTACCTTTTCTAACGAAACTTTGCCTATTGGAATGGTTCTAGATGGCTATTGTAACAGCTGAATTTAAACACCCTGTTGTAAATATTACATACATGATAATTGTAATACAATAAAATTTGTATAATTTTCAAAGTGAAAGTATTCATAAACATTCACAAACCAAATTAATTATCCAACAAATTAGTAATACCCACAAAAAAAAATGTTCTAACCAAAGTTCATAAGTTTAACAATTCAAAGTTCCAAAAGGTTCGATAAAAAAAGATTCCTTGAATATCTAAAGTTTCAGCAACAATTCCAAAATCTTCTTAAGTAAGGTCTAGATCTTCATCGCTTTCGACTTTCTTTTCATCATTTTTTCCACCTATAAAAGAGGGTAACAAAGTCATTACCTTCAACATATTTCTCATTTGCAATAAGAGACATCCACACAAAAAGATAAGTCAAGATTCAATGATGCTAGGTTAGGAACACCAACTTTGTACAAGTCAAAAAATCTCAATCATATTTCAAGTTAGAAAAACCAACAATATGATGCCAATAGGAACATACAGAAAACTAACAATTCTGAAAAATAAGCATGAGAAGAAAGTTTTTTGTGTTGTTGTGATCGTAAGACAAGTTTCTCTATTTGATTATAAATTACTATTATTACGTACTTCGTCTTTCCAAGAAACTTGTATATAAAGCAACAGCAACCCATTTTCAGAACAAGAGAAAAGTTATTACTACTAAGTACTTAGTAGCTAAACGTTATTGAGAACAACGTTTCTAAATGGAGTCCATAAGATGGAGAAAACTGAGACTGAGGCTGAGGTTGCAGGGCCAATACAACTAAAACTAATGGTTCGCCTTACTGTCATTTCATGCCATCTCCTTCTGGCAATAAACATCCAGATTTCAGTCACAAGAACTGTTGCAGGGCCAAATATTTTGTCTCAAGACAAGTTGTGAATTGGACTTGTAAAAGCGACTCTTGTACTTGGTTCTTTCAGTAATATGATTAGAAAATTTTAGTTTAGGACATGAAACTAATAGTCGTTAGTTGTATGAATTTTCTAGTATGGATTTAATTTTATCAGTTGGAGACTCCAACTTCACAGTCTATAAGTTTGCTTCAGCATCGTTCTCCTGGCTAAAGATTCTGACTATTTTCCAAAACTTATCTGATTTTGGATGGTATTTTTGTGTTTACTCTCATTCTAAACACTGAACTAATTGAAATAATTTATGCTGCATCAAGGATGCATCTTTAACTATTCTTTAGACAAGATGACCAGAAGCAAACAAGTGATAAGTTAAGCTATTGAACCAGTGAGCACTTGGTTCTGAGGCTTAAAAAGATTTTTTGTTCTTACTTATTAGGAAACATTAGGAAATAGAGCTAAACTACGCGAAAATATCCGCTTATTACCACAACAATAACAACTCAAGTTTGTTAAATTAAACCTAGAAGTCCAAAAATCAGAAAGAACAGCAAGAAACAAGCAAATCAACTTTGACAGTAATTTTAGAAGATAAAAACAGAAAACATGTATATGCTAGTAACAGAAAAGTGTATCAATTTGCATAACTTGCTATATGAAAAGCAACCTATGCAATGAAAAACGATATGCTTCGTAGTAATAAAGTTGGAAGGCAACCACATAATTACACAGTGACAAAAGAGATGGAGGTAAAATCAAAAAATATTATAATAACAAGACCAACATGGACAAGTTAAGAATGCCATAACCAGTTGCGTAATATTTTGAGTTGCTAGTGGTAGAAGAAGCAGCTGAAGGAAGAAGGAGTAAAATAGAAAGAGAAGAAGATAAGTTATATATCCTCCACATAAATAAAATCACCATAAATATACGACTAAAAGATAAGGCAACAAACTGAGCATAACACTAACTACCTTGATTTTTGACTTTAGTAACAGCTCATTTCTCTCTCCAATCCAAAGAAGAAGGACTATCAACAATACCAATATCACTTGAAACTCCAGTAGAAGACGACCCACATTAATAACCTAAAATTAAAGAACTCAATGTTGCTTACAAAAAGACCTAAGATTTAAAAAAAAAGAACGATTAAACAAAATATCCAAATCAGATAAAAAAAACTTACACATTCATTTTGACGGCTTCTCTAATTCGAGCATAAAATTGATTTTGGAATTTGGGGATTTGGGGATTTGGGGAAGGTTAGCAATTGTCCTTGAGATGAATCTATAAGGAGTTGAAAGATATTAGAAGTTGAAAGATCTTTATATTTCTGGTGTTGGTTTTGGATTTTAGGAGTGGAAGAGAAGATTTTGGGGTAATGAATATTTTTATCTTTGAGAGGCAAAAAGAAAGAGATAGGTTCTTTGGGTGTATCGAATAATACTGATCGATGGGTGGGTTTATTGGAAAAAGGGAAAAAGGCTTTAAATTTTATATTTACCTTATTAAAATTAATTAAATATAAAAATAGGGGTTGATTTGGCGGGTTTAGCAAATTCTGGGGGGGGGGGGGTGAGG